TATATGTAAAATATTGCCTTACGTGTTTTGAGTTTATTGGGGCTGTTGACTTGTGTTCGGTGGGTTTTAATGTTTATAACTATGAAAAACGGTTTCACCAACCTTATTTTATTGATATTTTGGGAGACAGGTTTGGATAGTTGGATAGAAGAACTTTATTTGCAGAGTCTTTGCTCTAAAGTGTTCATGATTAATCTTTAAGCATTAAGTTCCCACCCAAGTCAATGTTTTCATGGCATGAACTTTTAAGTTGGTTTTTGAGGTTTTCGATTTCAGAAAGGACCATGGTTTTATCTTAGTGGGACTGCCACCATTCTACCAGATTTATTGTGTGTTTACTGATTTAAAAAAAATAGAGAGAAGCATGTTTTGAGGCTTTAATCTATGCTTGTTTTGCCTCGGTTGCTGTGGCTTATATAAGTGGATTGTGGATGAGTATGTGTGATGAAATGAGTTCATTTTCAGAGTTTAATTGTGTTGAGTTTTTGGGTTTCATATATTGTTGTACTTTATTTTTAAAGTTATCATGATGAACTTTATTTAATATTGCTAAACCTTGTTTAATATTGCTGGAAGTACTCATTTTCTTTAGGCTTGATCATATGCTTATGTACCATTATTTTGCCTTTAGTTGTGCTTGTTACTTATATTATTTTTATGTTGTTCTATGTGCTATTTACAAGTCGGGTTCAATTTGTGACCTTAATGGTTGGAGTTAGAAATTTATGTGCCTTTATCTGCTTATTTGTTTTGATTGAGTTATATGTCCTTCCCTGCTTTACGTGGTTTAGTCAATTGTTTTGCTTTTAAATCCAAACCATAGTAATAAGACTTTATAATAAAATGTAGGTGTTTGACGAGTCGAGCTCGCATTCCTACAAGCTTTTGTGTGCTATTTGCTACTTCGGTATCCAAGTGGGTTTAATGTAAAATTGTCTATGCTGTAAATGTTATTACTGTTTTTAAATTTTTGGTATGATCAAGTATGCATGTGGAACATGTAGCCTTCGATGTGAGCTGTACCGGCCGTCGAACGGTTATCCCCGTATCTATAGAACGTACCCGTTGGGTAGTCTCCTTATTATTATTGAGCCGTAAGACCTGGGTTAAAGGTCCCTGTGCTGGACACATTTTGAGCCGTAAGACCTGGGTTAAAGGTCCCTGTGCTGGACAACCCCGTTGGTAAGACCAAGGTGAGACCTTGGCCGACGGGATACTCTTACTGGCCAGACACTCGTTGTAAGGCATTAGATAAGGCGTTCGGTATATAGTTCGGCAGTAGTCTATTGCTATAGGTGTGCACATGAGTCTATTATTGATATGATTGATAGGAGATTGGGATAATTAATTGATTCGTATACATGCTGAGACCATACCTTCTTGATTATTGATTATTGTTTCATTGTTACTAATAATGTTTACTGCATAGTGGTGAGCACTACTTTTTCCAACTGTGCTCATCCCCACTTGAAATTCACGTTTCAGGTTAAGCGAGGCAGGTACGACGGCGGAGTAGAGCGAGTGGTGGTCGGTCTATAAGACTGGCCTTATTATTTGTTATGCTTCCGCATTTATGAACTGGTTTATGATTATGAACTTGGGGTATTATTGTTTTTATGAATTCCGGATTTTATGACTGAATAATGTTAAGGAGATGCTCCTTAGAATTTATGAATATTGTTGGAACCCGGTTTGGGGTGATGATTTATGAAATTTTGGAAAACCTGTTTTTGGGAGATAGTATTATTGATGATGATTGATGATTGAGTTTGATGAATGATCGAGTATTGAAAATTTGGTTAGTATTGAAGTTCGATTTAAAAAGGGGTAACGCCTCAGGTGCTTCGAAATAAATTTGAAAAATTTATTCTGATTTTCGGCAAATAAAAGTGGGGCGTTACAGAAAATTAAGCACTTTCTTTGGAAGTGCATATCTGGTACACTCCCCGTAGCTGTCCACTTAAAGAAAAGAGGGGTGGAGATTGATACTACTTGCTCTATCTGTGGGAAACACCTGAGACTGTAGAACACATTCTCTTCACATGTAGCAGAGCTATTAGAGTTTGGAAGTTGAGCCCTCTGAGATGGGATGTGTTAAATGACTGCACAGAATCTTTTAGGGCTTGTTGGTATCAGGTTTGTTCCCTTGACCAATCTAAGGTAGCTGAAGCTCGAATTCCAATATATATGCTTTGGTGGTTTTGGAAGTCGAGGAACTTGTGGATTTTTCAAAATATTTTAATCCCGGAGCACAAACGTACTCAGATAGCTTAGGCAGATTGGATGGAATTTTCTGTTGCAGCTTCTTTTCATTAGTTTTGTTTTCTTTCTTTTTGTTTGAGATGAGTCCCTTGCAAGGCTTTGTAGTAGTGGCGGGGACTTAGCTCTTTGTTTTTTCTTCTTTCTTTTCTAGTTGCTCTTTGTTTAGGTTCTTGATCGCTTGTTGCGTGTCTCTCACTTTTCTATTTCGGATGTTTGATGACTCCTGTATTAGAACTATGTTCGCTTTGAGTTAATATAGTGCCCTATGTCGTTTTGGGAAAAAAAAAAGAAAATAGTAAGAAGAATTCTCTCCCTTCTCTTAATTGGCTAGCTAGAGTGTGGATGAGAATGTGGATGAACCACATTCTTCTCTACATTGTAGACATTAATTATGTCCACATCATCACAATATTTGTGATCACATTGTACATTGGAGGATGGAAAGTTGTGATCAACATATACAAATTCACAACTTTTCATCCTCCAATATACATTATGATCACAAATATTGTGGTGATGTGGATATAATTAATGTCTACAATATAGTAAAGAATGTGGTTCATCCACATTCTCCTCCACACTCTAGCTAGCCAATGAAGAGAAGTTAGAGAATTATTCTTACTAATTCCAAACTATTTAAGTATTTATTCAATTTTCTTACTGCATATTATAAAATTTTAATATTTGGTAAGTAGAAAATATTGTAGTTAGACTAATTAGAGATTATTTTTTAATTTCATAGTTGTAAACTTAATATTTTTTTGTACATGGTTCACAATCCATTTAATTTATTGACATTTATAAAAAAATTATTCTATAATAACATTAGAGCAATGGAGATATCTTGATGATTTTCTTGTTGTGACAAGCAAAACAAACTGAAAGAAAAGATTCACTTTATCGCTTTTGTATTTATATAAGTTCCTTAGATACCATATTATTTAATATGGTAAGTAATACTCCCTCCTATTCATAATAAGTGTCGTTTTGGGAAGTTGCACACTAATTAAGAATAATTTTTTTGCCAATAATAACCCTCATTAATGAAGATAGAGATGGATGTTTTAAAAAAAAGATGAATAGTTGATGGAAAAGACGTAATGTATTTATTAACTAAATGAGGGTAATAATGGAAAAATATGTACAAAAGATCTAAAACGACATTTATTTTGGTAATAGTTGATAAGGCCAAAATGACATTTAAAAGGAATAGGAGGTAGTATATTTTAGTATCTAATAGATAGTGTTTATATTTGATAAATCTCTTACTATAATTAATGTTTTATTTATTGTAAGAAGGATCGTGATACAAAGGAAAATATCAAGTTGATCTTGATTAGATGATCTCAGGTTCAGCATGAATGAGATCGTGTCCAAGTTCTGAACAAGTCAATTAGGAAGAAAGTCAACTGCACAAGGAAGGAAGTCAATACATGGAAATATAAAGGCTCTTTACTTTTGAGGAGTTTGTATATATGCTTGGTTTAAGACTCAAAGAAAGGTTGCTGCAATTATCAAGATTATCTTTCCAGACTTTCTTTGAGTGTTTGTGAGTTTTTTGTGTTTCATTTGTTTTAAGTGTTGGGTTCTTACATCACTGAAGAACTGTTTTCACTCTTTATTCACAAACACTTTGAGTACATAGAGATTAAATACTTTTGTAGTTAAGAGGGATCCATAGCTAGTTTGAAGTCCTTGGTGTGGCTAGGGAAGTAATTGATAGAGTCGGGTGTAGTGTTGATTAGATTCGGAGGGAGTGCATTCTTGTACGTTAAAATTATACATTGTGCGCAAACCGAACTATTAACAAAATAGCTCTCAGGAGTAGTGAGACACAATGTTTCTTATTTATACGTTGCTTTCGCTTTTAATTTATGTGTTTAAACACACGTTGCGTACTCTATATACTCTCCTACTACGTTTCAGAAATCAATCAAAATTCATTGCAAATTGAGGAGGTTTGAATTCAATGAAGCATCTCCAATTTGGAACAAAGGATACTAGAAATTAATGAAATTCATCAATTTTTATTTTGGAATATTTAAGTTTATGTGGAAGTCTAAATCAAGCTTTTGAAAAATAATCTGATTAATACATAAAGTTGTATAGGTCTATGGCTGTTAAATTAGATGAGTTGTTTGTAAGCTCGACTCGTTGTGGCTAGAGCTCGATTTGGCTTGTTTGATAAACGAGCCGAGCTCAAACTAATTTAAAGTTTGTTCAGTTAACGAGCCGAGCCAAACTCTCGTTAAATCTCGAAAAGATAATTTTTATGTATTTTACTATAGTTCGACTGGATTTTGGCTAGTTAAAACTCAAACTCGACTCATTAATATTAATAAACGAGTTGAGTTCGAGTTCGAATATAAACTTGTCAGCATGAGGCTCCGCTACCCTTGTTTAGACGGGTCTCAAAGTACACACTTCTCCTCCAAGTTTACCAGTACATTCTCAAAATTATTTACGACATCGACCTTTTACTTTATATATGTTCTCTCCATTCACTCTGTTCTTCTCGGAACCCTTAATTAAGCCCTAGGTCGGATCATCTTCTCGATCACGCCTTTTCCATTTCCTTTTGCATTTGCTGTAATCATCTTCTTTGAGATCTGCCTACCGGCGCATCCCTTATTCCCATAATTATCAGTATTTAGATCGCTTGTTTGTAATTTTTCCTTTCTGGTTTTGTGGTTGTATTTTTACTTGTTTTGCAGTGATAGAAATTGAAAGGCGTGGTGATGCTGGGTGTTATAAGGCGGAAAGCGGCTTCCGGCGCCAAGGTTGTTCCCTCTTTACTTGTATCTGTTAGTGTATGCTCATGCGCTATGTGTGTTGTGCGTGTATTTGTATATAGTTCAAACGATCAGTGACGTGTGTGCTGAAATTGAGTTATCATTATCCTTTCAATTAGGTTTGCAAGAAATCGTTGTCTAAGCTGAAACCTACAGTCTCTACACCACGAGCATGCGCAGCTGTTCCAGAAGAGGTAAAGTGGACATTTGTTTTTGTTCTAGATTTCAGGTGGCATATACAAAATACACACACACTTCAACTTTCTATTTGTGGAGGAAGGCTTGTCAATAGGAGTAATCATAATACTGTTGTATTGCATGAGACTTTCACTGTTCTGTATGAGAGCTGTAAAGATAATTGTCACTAGAAATCAGTTATGAATTGATCTTGTCTGTCTTAATGTCATTTTGACTCTTGGAATTGTGAACAGATCCTGTGTTACACGAGGGGCGTTGGCACTGCTCGGGCTTTTTCCGCCATGGCTGGTATAAGTACTCAATTTGTTGTTAAATAGATTATGCTTCCATTTTCATGATTCATTGGACAATGTTACCTATTATTTTGTCACAGGACAAACAATGTCTCCGATTCCAAAGAGGTCAGTGACGAATCTACATATGGTTAATGTTTATACAACTCTTTTGGGTACTTACCTTATGACTTGCATAGTCTTTGTTCATTGATGGATTTTTAAAGGATGATTTTTTTTATTTTCTTTTTTTGAGAACTTCAAGAGCAAGGACTGCTGGAGTGTTGTGAAATTTTAACTTTGACTAGCTGATTGGTCAATTTTGATTTTGTCTTGTGGTGGCAATTCAAGGATATTGAAATTTATGGACATATCTGATTATATGCATGGATATGATTCTGCGTGAAGGTTTAGAACTTTATTTAGTTACACAATTTGTTGATGGCATCCTGAAGGGTGCAAGGTGACTGGATTGCCATCCTCTATTACTTTTTCTTTTTAGTTAAAGTTCAGTATTAGTTTTTGTAACACATGAATAATATTATTTGACTTCTTATTTGAAAGGTTTTTGGGGAAAACCTTCTGTTCTGACTTGTTGGGAAAATTTATCACTCCACGTCTTTGTAATATTTTCAGGAAGTTAGTACATCCTGGAGAACAAGATTTGAACATGCAAAGTTGGAGCAGGCCATTTAGTTCCAATTCTGGTATGATATTCATATGTTTTCTAATGATTGTTGGTGATGGAAGATTTTTTTTTCAAATTGATCGACATTATTTTTTTCTTTTACACCTGGAATTTAGGTCTTCACAGTTTTAAGTCTGAGTAAACATAAATTGAGAAATTGCAGATTTAGTCCCACAGGTTTGGACGTATTGCAAATTTGGTCCCACAAATTCCGAAAATGGTCCTTTACCTTTTCTTTGTTGCAATTTTGGTCCCATCGATAGTCAAACCATTTGTCAAAATGGGAATTGATTTGCAACTTGGGACCAATTTTGGAATTTGGCCAATTTTGCGGGATCTAGCTCGCAACTTTCTATTTAAAAATTTATTAACTTTAATCATTGTTTCACCAAGTTATATTTTGATATTTGAGTCTTACATTTCTTATAAATTTGAATTTCTTATTATTTTCTTTACATCAGATCATTTACAATAAAATCATCATTCAATACTATATTTTTGTATTTTTTTTTAAATGCAAAACACAACGGTACAACAACAATAACAACATAGTCTTTTAGTCCCAAGCAAGTTGGAGTAGGCTAGAGATGAAACCCAAGAGAACCAATGGTAAGAGAAACACAAAAAGGGCTCAAAACAAAAGGAAGAGATTGTAGCAAAAAAGAGAAAGGAGCAAAAGTCACAGTTTTGGTGAAACTAATTAATTATTTTTTTTGTAATTTTAATAGTAAATAAAATAAAAATATAAAATAATATTTGCTATGATAATATTATGCATAAAAATTTATAATATTTGTTTTTGATTAGTAATTTTATCTAAATATTATCAATTTTTATATATCATATCATTGTAGTGAACATTATATCATATTTTATTGTATGCATACTTTTAGTTATATTCAATATTTTAAAAATTGGGCTAGATGCTAGACGGCACCTATGCGCTATATTTGTTTGCCTAAACAGCTCTTCTAAGTTCGACCGACTAAGCACCATCAAGGCGGGTTAGATGACTCCTAGGTGCCTTATTTTTCTTTTTTTCAAATTATAATAAAATTGGTTTTAATTTTATGAATAAATTAAATATTAGTTATAAAATGTAAAATAATAATCATATTAAAATTAATATAATAGCTCTGGATGTATTATATTTTACATAATCATTGTATTTGATAATATTAATTAGTATGTTACATATAATGTAACTTGTAAATTATGTATTATATTTTACATAATCATTGTATTTGATAATATTAATTATGTATGAAATAGATATAAATAGATTTATTAATATTTTTATGACTCCCTTTAGGTCTAGACTAATCCTTGTCTAAGTGATAAGTACCATCTCGCTGCCTAGCAAAAGTTTATTGACTTTTGTAACCTTAATTATATTATTATTTATTCTTTTAAATATTTATATGTAGTTTAATATATAAAATTATTTATCCCAATTTTTTTTTAATTACTGCCAGTATTTTATCACCTTGTTATTAATATTCTATTATTGCTATTATTAATGTAGAAAACATAATTAATAATTTCAAGAATTCATGTTGTGTACAATTTTTATATGCATAAATAATTTAAAATGAAGATAATGTGCAATATACATAATAAAAGAAATGATAAATTTTCTAAAATTGATTTATAATATTTAAAGTAAACAAGATTATTCTTGCAATATTTTTTTTTTTAAAATCAATTTTGTCAAACTTGGGACCAAATTTGCAATTTATAATATTCTATGGGACTATTTTTGCAATTTTTTACTTTTGTATGAATCATAAAGGACTATTTCTACAATTTATGGGACCAAATTTCCAACTCGTCCAATCTTGTGGGACTAGTTTTGTAATTTTTTCACTTAAATTTATTACATTTGTTATCACAAGAATAAATTTGATGTCAATATGTAAAGACAAGGTACATGAGTCATGAGTCACATCATCCCTGTCTAATATAGAATTGGAGAAGTTCTCCTCTACCTCTTTATTTCTTTTGGATAATCATTGAAAGTAGGTGTAAGAGAAATCTCTTGCTAACAGGTTCATCTAGAATCTAGATGATAATTTATGTTGGTGGATGGTAGTGTAAATCTTCGAGAAATGTATTGCTAGACGAAGATAGTTTTCTTGTGTGTTTTACTGTACCTATGATCTGTGGACATGTTCTGTGACATTTCTTCCACTACTGATGCATGGCAGATGGTGATGTTGTTGAAGCTGTTGTCCCATTTATGGGTGAATCAATAAGTGATGGCACATTAGCTACATTCTTGAAAAGTATGTTTTTCGCTGCTGTAACCTCCTTGATCACTTCAATAATCATAACCTAAAGATCTCAGCCTTGTTTTTTTTCCCTAACTGATTGTTGGTTTGAGCAGAACCCGGGGATAGAGTAGAAGTGGATGAGCCAATCGCGCAGGTTGAAACAGACAAGGTACTCAATATTAATTGACAATATAAAATGTGTTTATCGCCTTTTTTAAAGTACATATAATTGTGAGTTATTGCTCAATTGCAATTGGTGCGTGGAAATAGCTACTTGATGCCTGAGTACAATTTTACATACTGTGAGTGCATTAGCAGTAGTATTTGATATCAGAGCCTTTTATGAATTTGCGGTAGCTCAGTCTTGGGTTGTTTGTTGTGCCAGGTCACAATTGATGTCAATAGTCCGGAAGCAGGGGTGATTCAGAAGGTACAATGTAATGAAGTAGGCTGGTTATCATGTTACTCTGTTATTAGTTTTATATTTACTTATGGAGCTAACATTAACTGACTTTAATTTCATAGTTTATAGCGAGCGAAGGAGATACTGTAGAACCTGGCACCAAGGTTGCTATCATATCAAGATCTGGTGAAGGTGTAACACATGTTGCACCTTCTGATGAAAAACCATCCTCAAAAGCTTCTCAACCATCAACTTCTCCCTCTGAAGAAATAAAGGAGAAACCTACGCCTAAAGTCGAAACAACTCCTGTTGTAGAAAAGCCAAAAGGAACCCCTCCCTCTTCTCCCCCGAAAACGCCAGCTACAGAACCCCAGTTACCCCCTAAAGATAGGGAAAGACGAGTGAGTCCTAAGTTCAAATTCTGACTCTTTAGTTATTATTACCAGTGATATTTGTAAGATCAGAACATGCTTCTATATTGTCAGGTTCCTATGACAAGGCTTAGGAAAAGAGTTGCCACACGTTTAAAGGATTCTCAGAACACCTTTGCATTGCTGACAACATTTAATGAAGTTGACATGTAAGTTTATTTCTGTATTGTTGTTTTGTCAGGTGATGTATTTGTGCAATAGGCTTCAGGTAATTGAGTAATTCTATCGGCTGAGAATTAAATAGAAAAATATTTTTCTGGACTGTCGTTGGGGTGCTGCTGCCAACGGTTCAATAAAGATGCTTCTTTCCTTGCCTGATATATTATTGGGTCCAACAGGAGTTGGATGTTATTTATTAGATTATTGCATTGCTTTTTGATTAGTGAGCTTCTATTTGTGGAAGAGTTATTTGCTCTAATTTTGCAGCACAATTAGGTGACCAAAGTGTGCCCGCCTCTCTTTTCCGGTTTCCTTAGGGCTTTGTTTTTGTGAAGGCATTTGAATGTTGATTACCATTTAAAAAACAAAGTATTTTCGTCTTATAGTTCTCCGTGCATCAAAATTTTCAACGGCTACAATTTCTTATTGCAGGACTAATTTAATGAAACTTCGCTCTGATTACAAGGACTCATTTTTCGAAAAGCATGGAGTGAAGCTGGGACTAATGTCTGGATTTGTTAAAGTATGCCGGAACACCTTTTTCCCCCTGTTTATTCCTCACACACTTGTTAATCGGACTTGTTCTCTTTTATTTTCAGGCGGCTATTAGCGCTCTACAGAAGCAGCCAATAGTGAATGCTGTTATTGACGGTGATGACATCATTTACAGAGACTACATTGACATTAGCATTGCTGTTGGTACCCCCAAGGCAAGTTCTATATTATTCACATTTTTAGATACTCCAAATGTGGCTTAAAATGTAAGGTAAGGAATTCAAGTTTTTGCATTAGGCCCTATCAATCAATTCTCTCGGACAAAAATTTCGAGTCATGTGTGTTGGAATCTAGATTAATTGATGACTTATGTTGACAGTACGTTCTATTGCGGCATGACTAACTATCTACCTCTTATCCCCAAGTATCCATCTAGAATGAGAAAGGAATTTTTTTTATCATTCCTTTTTTCTGAACAAACTTCATTTTTGCCATCAGGGTCTTGTTGTTCCTGTTCTCCGTAATGCTGAAAGCATGAACTTTGCTGAGGTCGAAAAGGAGATCAACACACTTGCTAAGAAGGCCAACGATGGCACTATTTCAATTGATGAGATGGCTGGTGGAACATTTACCATATCGAATGGTGGTGTTTATGGAAGTCTTTTGAGTACTCCAATCATCAACCCTCCACAGGTTCATTCATCATTCAGAGACTTCTTTTCAGTTT